GGGGGGGGGGGAGGAAGGATGGTTATGGGAGCAGGGAAGTTTATATCGCAACTAAGAGAGCCATTCTACAGTTTGCAAGAGACTTGATTCTGGAGGGGTTCCCAGAAAAAATTAAATAAAAATAAATAAATAAATAAATAAAAAGAAAAATAAAAAAAAGAAAAAGAAAACGCTTTACTGAGTCAGGTAAGCCAGACCCAAAAGGAGGAATAAGGTATGTATTCACTCATAAGTGGATTCTAGCCATAATTAGAGGTCTTTGAGCCTATTATTCGTGATCCTAGAGAAGCTAAATAAGAAGGTGAACCTGAAGAAAATTCAGGTAGTTTTCCTCCTGGAGATTGGATATAGACAAGAATTCCAGGTAACCACGGGTGCATGGGGGGTTGGGAGGGTAGTTGGAAGGGGAGAGGGTTAGAGAGAAGGGGGCAGGGGAGGAATGGGGAATGCTTGGGGGACTGGGAGGGGAGGAGGGAAGAAGGATAGATATGGGTTCAGGGAAGAATATATCTCAACTATGGAAATCAGTTTAGGGTTTACTAGAGACTTGACTGTAAATGGGATCCCAGGTCCAAGGAGAGATCCCCAGATTGTTCTCTGGACAGAGGAGAGGTTTCCTGAACTGGCCTTGACCCATAATCATACTGATGAATATTTTACTTATTACCATAGATCCTTCATCTGGCAATGGATGGAGATAGGGACGGGGACCCACGTTGGAACACTGGACTTAACTCCCTAGGTCCAAGCGAGAAGCAGAAGGAAGAAGAACGTGAGCAGGGAGGGCAAGATCAGAGGGAACCTTCATCCGGCGATGGATAGCGATGCAGACGGAGACGCACACTGGAGCACCGGACTGAGCCCCACAAGGTCCAAAGGAGGAGCAGAAGGAGGAAGAACATGCAAAAGAAAATCAGAACCGCAAGGGGAGCGATCACCCACTGATACAAGGGGACTGATCTAATGAGAGCTCACCAAGGCCAGTTGACTGGGACTGAAGGAGCGCTTGATCCAACCAGATTCTCTGGAGGAGGCTGGATTCCCTGAATGTGGCTGGCCCGGAGTCTTTCTAAAAAGCCATTGACAATGACTCTGGGACTTGTTTCCTCTGCATATTCTGGATTTTTGGAGATCCAGTCTGTTTGGATACTCACCTTACTGGACCTGGAGGGAGTGGGGAGGAACTTGAACTACCCACAGGGCAGGAAAACCTGACTGCTCTTAGGGATGGAGAGGGAAGAGGAGAGGGAGTGGGGGGAGTGGGAGGGTGTTGGGAGGAAGGGTGAAAATGGAAACTTTTATATTTTAATAAAAAAAATAAAATAAAATAAAAATCTCACAGGAACTATATTAATTAAATCACTTCCTGGGCCTATTAGCTCTAACTTCTTTTTGGTTAACTCTTACACCTTAATTTAACCCATTTCTATTAATCTGTGTATTGCCACATGGCTGTGGCTTACTGGCAAGGTTCTGTCTGGTGTGTGCCTCTGACAGAGGTAAATGACTTATTTTTGTTACTCTATTGCTTTTTATACACATTTAATATTTACTTTATTATCTTTACTCCATCAATGTATGACTGTCTGTTCTCTGTCTCTTTAAAGGCTTTGTTTTGTCATTTTATAAATCATTTACTTCCTTTTCTAACTCTGTACTCTTTTATTTCTCTCTCAAGTCTAAACACATTTTTTAAAACATACTGTCTTATTTAGAGGTCTTTTATGCCTGAATCTGTTCTATTGTATATATGAAATTCTTTTCTGTCCAGGAGCTCTTCCTAAATATTAAGCAACATTATTACAACTAATGCTGCTTTCCTTTTTGGCTCTGCCCAGTTCAACATGTCAGAGGTCCATTCATTGTCTCTGAGAGCCATTCTCTCGACCCCAGATCCGTGGATTGCAGTAGGCCTGTGATATCATTAAGCAAGTTGTAGCACTCTGTTCACAAACCCCATTTAAATGCTCCATAGCTGGACTTCCTGAATGCTGACAGCATGGCCCAGGAAGCTGCCATTTAAAAACTGTATGGTTCTTTTTTTCTTTTGCTACCACTGAATCAGGAAGACCTCTCTTAAAGAAGCTGTGGCATGCTGCCAGCAAGCAGAGCCCATCTGAAAAAAAAAAATGCAACTAAACTTTGTTTTTTCAGTGTCTAGAATTCCTTTGCAATTCCTCTCAGTTTTATGTGAACTCAACTAGCACATGTTGGAGCCCCAATTTGTTGTAAGAGGCTGCTAGTTTGTTACCCAAAATAATCACATGGCTGCTCAGCCCTGAAATAATCACACAGAAACTGTATTAATTAAATCATTGCTTGGCATATAAGCTCCAACATCTTATTGGCTAGTTCTTACAACTTAATTTAATCTATTTATATTAATCTGTGTATCACCACGTGGCTCTGGCTTACCAGCTAGGTTCTGTCCAGTGTGGCAGGACTACATGGCATCTCCCTGACTCTGCCTTCTTCCTCCCAGCATTCAGTCCAGTCTTCCCTGCCTAGCTCTACTCTACCCTATCACAGGCCCCAAACAGCCTATTTATTCATTAACCAATAAAAGTAACCCATATACAGAAGTACTTCTCACATCACACAAAGACTATTATATGTATTCACTTAAACATGGACATTGCTGTTAAATCAATAAAAACCAAGCTACAACCTGTAGAATCACTGAGGTTAGGTGTAAAGTAAGGGATTATTAAGGAGAGATAGAACTTGTAGGAAGGGATACAGAATAGATATTAATGGGAATGCTGGGGATGGTGCTTGAATCAAGGCCTTTACTGGTGAGAGAAGCAGGTATGGGGGAAGGAATACAGGTAGAGATATCTAAAATTCAGCATCATTTGAGGTAATGTATGGATTCTTAATACAGGAGAAACTTAATACAGATGAAACATATATAAAGGTGATCTAATGAAATAGCCAAATAATGAGGAGGCAGAATCCCAAATGTACAACACTTTTCACCAAATAAAACTTCCAATACCAGTCTTAGGTTACTTCTAATTGTGTTGTTGGTCTAAGGAGTTCCCAGGAAATCTCCAAATGCTATTGTCAAGACAGTAGGTTGCTCTCCAAAAACTGACAGCAAGGGCTCACTGTTGAAGCAACACCTACACAACACTGTGAACCTGGAGAAGTCAAGTCAATGTCCTCATAGAGCCTTTACCTGTATGTTCCAGGATCTTTGGTAGAGGAATATGCTCTGCTTACTGTCAAAAGAGAAACGCAACCACCAACTCAGCCACAAACCCTTTGATCAACAATGGTGTCTTGACTCCTAGATATGCGAGGGAAGTAGTGGCACAAGAATTTATCTGACGTAGGACTCACTCTATGATATCAAACTCATTCCTCAAACTGCTGGAGTGGCCATAGTGGAAGACTAGATAGCCCTGAGACAGATGGTAAAACCAAATACTTCTGTTTTAAAACAAAAAAGCATAAACAATAAAACGTAAAACAAAAACAGAGCAATAAAATGACTCCTGATGACATTCTGCTATACTCATCGACCAGCATCTTGCTCAGTCATCTTTAGAGAATATTCATCTTAGAGCAGAGAACAACAAATGCAGAGACCCTCAACCAGGCATTCTGCAGAGAGTGAAAGACATCAGAATACTTATTCCTAAATGGAATGTCACCATCAAATTCCTCCACTCAGGGCTCAGAGTACACTGTGGAATAGGAGGCAGAAAGAGTGTAAGAACCAGAGGGGATGGAGAATATTGAGAATACAAATCTCTCTAAAATAAAAATGATCAAAGGTCATATGAACTCATGGAGCCCAAGGTATCATGAAGAGGGCCTGCACAGGTACGAAATAGGTCATTTGCATTACATTATGGCGTCCAGTTTACTATTATTATGGGATTCTTTAATGTGTAAAAGAGAAAATTTCTATTTCTTATGCCTTCTCTTGTGTTCTTTCCCTTTCTTTTGTCTAATGCTTACGTGTTATTTTTGTTGTGTCATATCTATTACACTGAATTATTTTATATATTATTCTTTAGAAGGCTGCTTGTTTTCATATGAGAAGCAGAAAAAAAGGGTATCTGGATGGAGTGAAGGTGGGGTATTTCAGGAAAGAGTAGGGGGAGAAAAAACCATAATCATAATATATTTTGGGAGAAAAAATTAATTTTCACTAAAAGGAAAAAAAGCAGCAGATTGGATTATAATGCTTTGTGATACCAATATTTATTGTTAGATTAATTTTAATTATATAAATATTCATTATCATATAAACATAATTATTTTTAATTATTAGCAACCTTTTTATAAATGAATACATTTTAATTGTTTGCAATGTTCCATTCTTAAGTTATCATTATATTGGAAATTTATGTGGAAAATTTGAAATGCTGAGAATATATTCTCAATTAATAGGAGCATTACACTACAGATTGTTTTTCTTTCATTTCTTTTTTATGTTCACACCTACAGTACTCACATGGTAAATACTGAATTGGGAGCTTGCCAGATGTCGTACCCAGCAACTTCTATGATACACTAACTCTTTGACAAGTGCTAGTCACACTACTGGATCCCATGACTTCCTGTGACTTTACTTCACATAATCAGATAAAATATGGTCTCTCAAATTTCATGAAGAAATGGAAATTTGACAAAAATTATTGTTAACCTGGAGGTCTCTTCTGCCTTTTCTTTTATAAGCACATAAGAAAACAGCTGATCTTGAGAATTCTGGTGTAGTCTCAATGAGAAAAGTTTATATGTGACTCAAGTATTTCCCTGAAGGGTGCCATGTTTCTACTCAGTCCTGAAAACACCATGAATCTGTGTCTTGGATGGGTGCTTTCAAACAATTGTGTAACTATATGGAAAATATTTTCTATTATATTGGTAAAATAAGGGGCACTGACTTATTCCTTTTGTCTGGATGAGTGACCCCACTGCTCACATACATGGAGCAAGGCAGAGAAGGGGCTCTAAGATCTGGAATTTGGGGACTCAAATGCTGCCAGCCTCCGCTTTCATTCCTATGCATTGTTCATTTCCTGTCAATCATCAATGTATCAGATAAAGAGCTTCTTACCCTTAGTTTCTTGTAAGAATTTTATTTTCCTAGAGGGGTGTGACATGGTGAATGGGAATAGGAAGGGAACCTCAGGAAGTCGAGCATCCTATAGACAACATTTTTCTCTTCTTAAGCTCCTGTTGCTTTGGAACCAGAATCTTTACAGGTCTATAGATATAGATGCACAGCTTGTGTGTCTTACTACATGTATGTTCATCTAACATATATGTTTCAACATCATGTTTACTGTTCTATATTTTTCTCATTCCTCACACTATTATTTTAATAATTTGGAAAAGCCTTTTTGTCTGCCATTGTTATCTCTTCTTTTCCTAAAAATATGATTCATGTTTATGCTTTTATCATGTATTGGGCACAGAAGGGAGGGTGTGTTTTGTATGTGCTGGACCAGTGGATCTGTTTTAAACTACAATGTATAAGAAAACACTATTGGTGCAGTTAAAAAAAATGCTGTTTAACAAAAGTTTAGGGAAATGGACTTCTGGAGTGATAAAATTCCTTAATCTACATTTTCCACATCTATCAAAAATTTTTCTGGAGAATCTAAATATTTTTAAACTGTTCTCAGAATATACATTATTCCAGCCAGACTCAGTAAATCTAGGCTTTCTACTTATGCTTCAGTGAAGTGAGTTTTCTTTTCTCCATTTCAAAGTTAGATTCTCTGTTTAGGTCTGTACTCCATTTTTATTGGATTATTTGCTCTTTTGATGACCAGTTTCTTGAGTTCTTTTGTATATTTTGGAGCTCAGACCTCTGTCTGATGTGGGGTTAGTGAAGATCTTTTCCCATTCTGTAGGCTGTCATTTTGTCTTTTCGACCATGTCCTTTGCTTTACAGAAGCTTTTCAGTTTCAGGAGGTCCCATTTATTAATTGTTTCCCTCAGTGTCTGTGCTACTGGGGTTATATTTAGGAAGTGGTCTCCTATGCCATTGCATTAAAGTGTACTTTCCACTTTCTCTTCTATGAGGTTCAGTGTGGCTGGCTTTATGTTGAGGTCTTTGATCCATTTGAACTTGAGTTTTGTTTATAGTAATAGATATGGGTCTATTTTCATTCTTCTACATGTTGATATCCAGTTATGCTAGCACCATTTGTTAAATATGCTTTCTTTTCTCATTTGATATTTTTAACTTCTTTGTCAAAATCAGGTGTTTGAAGTTGTGTGGATTAATATCTGGGTCTTACATTCAGTTCCCTTGGTTCTCCTGTCTGTTTTTATGCTAATACCAGGCTGTTTTCAGCACTGTAGCTCTATAGTAGAGTTTGAAGTCAGGGATTGTGATGGCTCCAGAAGGCCTTTTATTGTACAGGATTTTTTGCTCCCTGGGTTTTTTGCTTTGCCATATGAAACTGAGTACTGTCTTTTGGGGTCTGTGAAGAATTTTTCTAGGATTTTGATGGGCATTACATTGAATCTGTAGATTGCTTTTGGTAAGATTACCATTTTTACTGTGTTAATTCTACCCACCCAAGAGCATGGGAGATCTTTCCACTTTCTGGTGTCTTCTCCAATTTCTTTCTTCAAAGATTTAAGGTTTGTGCCATACAAGTCTTTCACTTGTTTGGTTAGAGTTACTCCATGATATTTAATGCTATTTGTGGTTATTGTGAAGGGTGATGTTTCTTTGATTTCTTTCTCAGTCCTTTTATCATCTGTGTACAGGAGAACTACTGATTTTTTGGAGTTAATCTTGTATCTTACTACATTTCTGGAAGTGTTTATGAGTTGTAGAAGTTCCTTGGCAGAATTTTTGGCATCACTTATGGAAACTATCGTATCTTCAGCAAATAGTGAGAGTTTGACTTCTTCTTTTCTGATTTTTATCCCCTTATTTTCCTTTTGGATTCAACAGAAGGAAACTGAAAAGTTTAGCTGACCTAAAGACATGACTAAAGAATGAAAGAACATGTATCCACAGGACAATACTTCAGTTTACCCTCCAGAAATCTCAGACACTCACCAGAATTTGATTGTTTGTCTTACAATCTGTTTCATTAGAGTCAGTGAATGGCGTAGAAAGTGACGGACTGAGACTTTTTTAAGAAAACAACACACAGGATACTAGCAGAGTTTTTCCAGTATCTTATAGGAACACTGTGGGTCACTACTTGTGTCCTCACCTGTGACATCTGGATGCTTCAGCAAGAGAAGTAAAGCGTATCTCAGCGTTGTGCTTGTTGTCTCTGTCCCAGCACCAAACAGGTCAAGCACAGTCGTTGTCAGATTTTCAAGTGTAAATTCTGATTGTTGATTGTGGCTTGTCTAAGTATAAATTGATGCAAAAAGATGATAAATTCTTTATCAGAACATCTGACTACAATGGCTCTATATTTTCATGCATGAATATGTACTTATTACTGAAAATGTAAAATTTAAAGTAAAACTCCATAACATCCATTCAAATGGTCATTCTAACTGTATAGAAATTTATTGAGCTGTGTAGATTTTAGGTATAGTTAATTGGTCTATTTATCTGCAAGTTTTTCATAATAAGACTTGAACAAAATTTTAATTTCATATTGTTGTCAACAAAGATACTTGATTGTAGAGTAGAGGAGAAATAAACAAATAATTTCAGGTGATGGAGGTCCTTCTGTCTATGTGTTGCGTTTAATGATTAATGAATAAAGAACCTCTCAGAGCATATAGCAGAGCAAGGTGGGGAGGAGCAGAGCTAGGTGGGGATGACTGGACTGAATGCTTGGAGAAAGAAGGGCAGAGTCAGAGAGATGCTATATAGCCCCACCAAAGATCAGATATGCCGAAACTTTGCTGTTAAGTCACTAACATGTAGAGATACACAAATTAATAGAAATATGTTTAATGAAGATGTAAGAGCTAGCAAATAAGAAGATAGAGCTAATAAACCAAGCAGTTCTTTAATTAATACAGTTTCTATGTGATTATTTCATGTCTAAGCTAGCTGGGTGGCCGGGAACCAGCAAGTACCTCCCTTCTCCAACAGATTTTAAAGACAGTAGCACAGATTTGAATAAATTTCAATTTCACCCTAAATTCCTGACTAGTCTCTTGTAATGATGTGATTTTTCTCATGTAAGTGTATACATTTTGTACTTTTATGCCTTAAAAACATAAATGAAATGCTTTATTAATTATGTATTTTGTTCTATCAAAAACATAAGAAGAAGACTATGAGATAGAGCTAATCTTGGGATATACAGATTCATATGCAAAAATGAAGGCCTGTGTTCTCTATATAAACCATAAAAGGTCTCTATATAAAGACCAGTGGAAGACATTTGACTCTAGCTCTGAGCATTCTCTATTAAACTAAGATTGGTCTGTAATAAGATTATTTGTCCTTGAGTTAAATAAACCTATTCTTTCTTAATGCATTAAAATCTAGATTTTCTCTTATCTTTAAAAATTAACATATCCTTGTATAGTAAACCCACATTTCTAATCTATCAGCACATCAATCCATTGATGACTTCTAGATTGATTATCTCAGCTATTTTGATAAAAACAATAGGGAACAAACATGAATGTGCAGGTGCTTTTTCTGTATGCTGATATTTTTTGGATATAAGCTCAGATTGGGTCAAAAACCTACCTCATTAGACAAGACCCATATCTGTCACTGTTAGAAGAACTAAGAATCAGTGATCAAATCTATTATTCTAATGGCCTAATGAGTATACTATTAAAATGACTCCTAATGACTTACTGTTATACCCATAGAACCGAAATCTCTTTCTTCTCATCAAAGAAACTTCTCCTTGCAGGAGATGGCAATAAATAAAAAGACACCCAACTGTTCACTGTACAGAGAATAAAGCATTGTGCCCTGATCACCCCTAAATCATAACACACTCCTCCCAAGAAGGCTTAAGGATCTTGTGGAAGAGGGGACAGAAATGTCCTAAGAACCATCTGTGATTGATAGTATCAAGGAATCAGTATTCTCTGATCACAAAAGGACAGGTGAACATGATAATTCATAGTGGCTTGACAATCTGCACACACACACACACAAAAAAAAAAAACCTGTGTAGGCTCCATCAGATAAAAACACAGCACAAAGTATGGGGAAGAAAATATAAACCCCATCTCTAGCTGATTATCTCCTGGGAAGGGGGAGCCAATTTCCAACAATAATATGACCCTTGGTAGCTTTATATAATGTCAGGCCTGAGGCGAGGTGATCAACAGATGCTGATGTTGATAAAAAGGAAAAATAGAAATCACAAAAGTTTGGTAAGACGAGTTAAGAAGATGGAGAGGAGGGTAATGAAAGTTGAGGGTTATCTTGAAATTACATCCCGTGAAATTCTCAAAGAATTGATAAAAATGTAAAATATAAAAATAAAACAAGTTTATCAAACATAAAACAATTATTTTGAAGTATTATTGCAGAGCTACAATAATGATAGCAATGAAGTATTGACACACAAATCAATATAAATTCCAATAGAACTTTGATAGTCAGTGGTTAACCTAAACATCTATGGTCAATATTTTTCCAACTGAGTCCAAAACTGCTTCATCTAAAGAAAGAGTCTTTATCAGATAATGTCAAAACAACAGAATACCTACATGAAAAGAAGGATGCTAGAAGTGTAAAGAAACATGGAGCATGAATGAGCCTCATTCTTTATGATTTGGACTCATAGATTACAGAACAAAGTATCAAACCCAGATAAACCAGACTTCATTCACAACAAAATGCTAATGCATTCAGGGCATAAATAAGAATGTACAAATGACAACCTACTGGATGGAAATATGTTTCCATATCATTTATATAGAAAAGTTTATATCTAGATACATACACAATTCTTTTTTTTGGAAGGTTTGTAATTATATTTATGTACAGAAAACTCAACAGTACATTTAACCCAGGTTAGTGGCAAGTTCTTTGTCCTTTGCCTTTTCCAGCTTGGCAATTCGAGGCATAGATTTAGGACCCAGGACATTGCCTCCCCAGTGGTGGCGGATGAGTTCACCATACACAATTCTATAGCTCCACACAGCAAATAGTCCAATAGGCAAAATATTATAATATAAATTCTCTGAAGACACAGAAAGGCAAAATAGCATACTAAAAGATGTCTATTTTCACTGTTTGTTAAGTAGATATCCATCAAATCTACCCTGAGGTACCAATTCATAGTACGTGGATTGTTGAGAATAATTAATTTTCAAAATTACAACCTTTAGCAGCTATTTTGAAAATAGGGTATCTCATAGACATGAAATACTGTATTAATGTGAATTTTTCAAAAAGAAAATCATAAAGATATAATCTTTTGACTCAGAAACTCAAGTCCTGGAGATATCGACAGAGGAAGTGATGTTCACATACATTTATATATATAGCTTAGAGGAGCCTCGGGAAGAAAGTACACAAATATCAATCAATGAAGAAGAATAAGTTCATTTTTCTATTGATGCATGAAAATGAAGTTTGCTGCAAAGAAAGGAGGAAGTACCGAAACAAGATGAACTTAGAAAATATTCAAGATTTCATGCAAGTACAAGAAAACAGAAATTGGCTGCCAATTATACTGAGTCAGTTTAGATGATCCACTCATCATAGGCAAGATTGTACATACAGAAATTACATTAACAACTGATAAAGATTGTGGTAAGAGAAAGGAGTGAACAGTATTGGTAGTGATGTGTTTAGTCATAGTAAGGGATTGCTTTCCATCTACAAGGAGCTGGTTGTTATAGTGCTTTGTAATCACATAAGGTACCAACATAATTTATGTGAAACATGGATACAGTCTTAAGATACCACTAACTCTGTGAGCTATATCTTACAAACTAGCCAGGCTGTGGTGGTGCATGTTTTTAATCTCAGCACTTGAGAGGCAAAGACAGGCATATCTCAGTGAGTTTGAGGTCAGCCTGGTCTGCAAATCAAGTTCCAAGACAGCCAGGATTGTTACACAGAGAAACACTGTCTCTAAAAGCCAGAAAAAGGCACAAACTATAAAAATTAGTCTGTCAAAAGAAAACAGCATCGTGGGTCCTCAGATGCCAGGATATTAAGTATTACTACACAGTAACAGTTACAGAACTCAAAGTAATGAACCACTAATAAAGGACTATCTTAGATCAGTGGAATAGAATCACTGCCCACAACTAACCCCAAACATCTCAAGTCAACTTGTTTTTACTGAATCCCATGGAAATTCAATGTAAAAATTATCTTTTGAATAAGCTACACAATGCCAGTGCAGTTCATTCTGTCAGGATACCCAGTAGATACCAATCCTTAACCCCTTTTGGTGAAAATTAACTTGAACTTGTACTCAAAGCCTCATTCTTCCATACGCCTCTCTTTCTACCACATACTTCTCTTTATAACCACTCAATCCTTCTGAAACTAACTCCTGTATCTATTCTTTTAAAATAACAACATGGCCAGAACTATTTAAATTCACTAGACATGCAGGAATTCTAAGCACACAACATGTGCATTTATGGTGCCAGCATTCACACTGCCATGATAGTTTATTATTTTCTACTTGATTAGGATTCTTTCCCATCTTACCTGTCTCTTGTATCCCTGTTCTCCTCAGCTACAATTTTTAAAGAACAGAGTCAATGTGTTCTAGTTAATAAATCCCCTTCATATTACTAGTACCCATACGGTGAATCACAACACATAATAAATACTAAAACTGTTTTTCAAATGATACTGACTTAAACCATCTCTGACAAACATTTCAGTGTTCAACAAACCACAAAATGCTCAGACAATAAAATAAATTTATATTAATATTTACCTGCTTTAGTTTAATCAAGTAATAATCAATGAAGTCTCGAGGGTTTGCAACATTCAATGATTCCTGATGTTCTTTTATTTTTTCCAAAAGATAACTTCTGACATAATCAGCATTTTTTAAAATTGTGCGATGACTTCCTGGACAATAGTCAATTAGTGAAGGGAAATTATTGTAGATCTACAAAATCAGATAAAGAAATTTTTGTTAAGATGTATTATTTTTCTTTTAGTCATGTGTGTGATGTGTATATGGTGTGAATGCATGCATATATGTCCATGCAATATATATGTTGGGGCATTGGAGGACAAAAATAGAACCCCTAAAGCTAGTAGTTTTGAGCCACCTAACATGGATGCTGAAAATTGTACTTGGAAGATCAGCACACACTCTTAAACACTGACCCATCTCTCCAGCCCTTGCCAAAGAACTTTTAAAATAAGAACATACATATATGTATAATATATAGCAAGACCAACATGGGTTTATAGATTCAGTCATGAATTAAAAATAGTGTTCAACAAAAGGAAGAAGTGTTTTGTTTCATACATATAGAAATTTTCTGTTATAATAGAGAGACCTGGGGTGGGAGGGAATTCCTGCCTGAATGATGAAAGATCATGACCAAGTTTCAACATTCATGAATCCTTTTTAATATACAGATTATTTGTGAAAACTGACTGATGGCTTATACCATTTATTCTCTAAAAGTCTGAGTATAATATGATGCAAATGATTGTCATTTACACTTTTTAGATGATGGCTATATTGAAAAGAGCTGGGCAACTTGATTTATAGAAAAAAGTAGCCATACATATTTAACTCTTATAAACTGGCCTATGACATAGAATAAATAATCAGAAGTGGGTGAGGCCCCAAGAGGATTTGAAAGCAAAAGTATTACTCATGCCTTAGGGGTTTCTGTATTATCTCAGCCATTCTTTTATAACTGGTTTTTTATTTACCTTTGTGTCCCTCACACCATTCATCTTGATTCCATCCACCTACATATCTCCACACATCCACCCTCAGTCCTTAAACACCCCCCAAAATAAAAAAGAATAAAACTTAAAAGTAAAAAGAATAGTTTTATCATGGAAGCTATAGTGAGACAAAGTGAGTCACATAGTACACACTTTTGTCCATATATTGCTATTTGACAAGTGTTCACTGCAAAGAGCCATTGACTGTTTTGGAGTATCTACTTTCTGCTACACTATCAATACTGGCCCCTTACTGGGCATCTTAGATATCCTGTCGCTACCCTGCACTGTGAAGATCTTGAATCCCTGGTTCTGCAGGACCAGCTTCTCCACATGCTCCAACAGATCACAGGTCAGGAAGATGTTGAGGTACATCAACTCATAACCCTAGATCTTGGCCTAGGTAGTTGCACTGTTGACTAGTTCTCCAAATCTCCCCCTGTACTCACAACCAGAATGAAGTCTCTGTCATTGCTATGGCTAGTTTAACCTTTATAACAAGGAGCTGCTTTCATACCCTCAGAGTTGACTTCACACACCTACACCATCAAACAAGATCTACTGTGTCACCCAGGCAAGGTGCAGGGTCCACTCTTCCAAGTGCTTCAGCTGATAAAGGGCAAGGAAAACCTTTTTACTCTTAGAACCACAGGGTCAATCCTGCAACGTGCCACAGGCTACAAGGGAGAGAAGGCAATCCTTTCTCCACACATACTGTCATAAGACAGATGAGGGGAGGAACCAAATCTCACATACTCACATTATCTAGGTTGGTTCACCTGCAGCCCTGCACCCCAAACAATAGGCTCAATAGAGTCAGCTCTGTTGTGCTGCCTGTGGAGGTGCAGGACCAGTTTTCAAAAATGCTGAAGCTGGTTAGGAGGAGTGTCAGGTCTATTGCACACCACAGGTGACAGTGGCAAGGGAAGAAGGACATCTTTCCCTACTACCACATGGCAGATTAGTGGGTATGAACACCTATTACACTCTCCCAACCTCAGGGCTAGCTCAACTGTGCGGCTGCCAACAGGGTCATCTCCACTGTGCTGCCAAGGCTAGGAGCAGGGCCTGCTTTAATGAGTGTTAAAGCTGGTAATGGGGAGGGTCAGCTTCCCACGTCTGCCTCAGGCTGTGAGGGGCTAATGCCTAAGGGGGCACCTCGCCTCCCATCATACCACCACATGACAGACAAGTAGTAGGGCCATCTCTCTCACATACTCAACTTCATGGCTGACTTGCCTATACCCCTATAAACAGTGTCAATTTTACTGTACTGGATCCACTCTCCTGAGTCCTGCAGTTGGTGGGGACAAGGGCAGCTCTCACTATTTCATGACTTCTGAGACAAGCCTCCCAACTGCCAGAGGCAGTGGGTAGCATCTCTCCCCTACTCATGCTACCATTTGGCAGATGAGGGGCAAGGTCAGATCACCCAAGCTCATATTCCTAGGCCAGGCTCACCCACACCCCTGTCAACAGGCTCAGCTCCACTGTGCTGCCAGTAGCAGGTGCAGGGCCCGTTCTCCCTAGTGTTTCAGACAGTGAGTGACAGCATCAACTCTGTACAGCCCTTTCATCTTGGCCTTAGGTGATTCCTGGAGCTGTGGACATCAACACAGATCAAGGCTGCAGCAGATCCATGTACCTAGACATGAACCCTGGCTGCAGCCCAGTCTCAGACACCACCATGCCCTGATAGCAACCAAGCCACCCAGTTCATCCCACTCCTCACTGTTTCCCCTCTTCAGATGTGCCTCTCTCCATGGAACATGAACCGTTCATTCTGTCTTTCCCATAACACACCATACATTTGCTCACCATAGTAGTGCCTGATCGCTTGATGCATTGATTTACTGGGCAGCTTAGATCACAGCCATTCTTGGGGAGAGTTCAGGAGATGCCAGTTCAGTCTAGGATAACTCTGAGAATCTGTATGTGGGTTGTGGGCCACACGGCATTAAATCACTCATGTTCTCATTTCTACCTTTTTGTCAACTAGGATTCCAGGAGACACATCAAACCACTGAAACTACTCAGTGTTTCCTGACAGATTTCATTACCATTAACAATCTTTCCCCTTTAAGAGAATATTACTTCTAAACTAAATTATTCCTACCTAATAATATGATGAGAATGTGTTTATTAATTGAAAAGATGAGGATTATGCATAGAAGAATGTCCTGTGAACAATGGGCCATACTTCCAAATGTGAATGCAACATTTCACACAAAGAATTCTCTGGATATAACAAAGAAAATCAATGGATACAGAGCTAGCAGCCTCGAACCAACCTGGAACCTGCTTTTCAAGGTTGCTATTTGTATAGCAAAGGATTTAGACCTGCCTTCCTGATATTCTTTCCATAATATGTTATTCAGAACTATGGTGTTTAGCCACCTTACTTCTTGATCCATACTGTATTTGATCATTGAGAATGAAAGACCAAAAACATGTTTTCAGGAGGAAAAGATCTTGACTTCACCTGCATCCAGGGAGAGCTCAGAATCCTGACATTCTCATTTACTTTTTCCATCAAGATAAGAAAATCCTGATCTTTATAATCAAAACGATTCTGGAAAACAGTGGAGCAGATGACATTGCAGGGAGCACAGCTCAGGATGAACGTGGGATCACAGGGTGAGCCTGAAGAAACAATTGGAAAAATATCATTAAAATGGACAAAGAGGGTGTTTTGGTTTTGTTTACAGGTAAACAGGCTTTAGAAGTTTTAAAACATATCCTATCTACAATTTTCCTAACAACTAACATTCATTATTTGTAGAATCAACATATCACTTTAATCTTATATTTAGGGCGGCCTCATCCGCAGTAGTTAAATAAGAACAGATCATATCTATTACAACAATTTTTACACATTTAACTATCTGATATTTGAAGTAAAACAAGAGATTTTATAAACCTAAAATTTCTTGTATTCAGAACAGAAATGTTTATATCTGTAATGCCTAATTGACCTATCACACTAAGATGAAACATTGGCCTAGAAGAATTCCTGTACTGCTCAGTTAATTTCCTCAAATCTCTGTAATCCAAAAAAAATCAAAACAAATATCCTCTGATTGTGTTCTGTCACTATGATCAATAGCAATTATTTCATGGTGAAATGATCCACAAAGACAAAGTACACTTGTGCTGATGGAAATGCACAATTATTCAACTCAAAAGAAAATTAACATGAAACCTATATTCATTGTTTCTGAGTTAAAAACAAAGAAAATTTTAGAATGGGTATGATCAACATCACACACACACACACACCTTGACTAAGATGCAAATGCTTAAATCTGCACTTACCATTGGTTTTCCTCAGTTCCTCCACAAGGCACTGTGCTTCCTCTTGAACACGGTCCTCAAGGTTCCTTTTGCCCATGCCCAAATTCCGCAGAGTTGTGAGGGTGAAGCGCCTTATCTCTTTCCATCTGTTTCCATTGCTAAAAATAATGCCTAAAGAAATGGAGAAACAGGGTCTCTCCCTACTTCTTGTACTGGCTTTCTGAAACTTATTCTCTTTAGAGGGATACCATGCTCAGCCAACATATAGTGGAGAGGGCCTTGGTCCTGCCTCAAAGCAATATACTAGACTTGTTGATACCCCATGGGAAGCCTTACCCACTCTGAGGAGTGGATGGGAGTTGTGTTGAAGGGGAAGGTGGAGGGAGCAGGAGGAAAGGAGAAGTGGGAACTGGGATTGGTATGTAAAACTAGAAAAGATAGTTTTTTAAAAAATTAAAATTAAAAAAATGGTAAAGCACTAGAAAAAATATTCTAGGAATAAATGAGAGATCTGATGGGTCAAAACCACAGAGAGGTTCAACCTGTACCTAAGGAAGAAGTTCCTCCCCTCCTTTCAGTCTTTACTTTCAACAGAAACACTGCACCACTCATATGAACATGCATAGTTACTTACCAAGGCCCTTATTAATTTTTTCAAGTATTGGGAAGCTGCCTCTGTCAGCAAACTCCTCCCCATGATCAATCAGAGCCTCCTTCACTGCTTCATACCCATGCAACACTACAGTGGGCTTCATGCCTAAGTACAGGGTGAACACAGGGCCATAGATTTTTGAGAACTGAAAACAAGAAAGAAAAATGGAAATACTAGCAAAAAAAGTTATTTTAATTTCCATGGAGTCAACCTCATTCACACTGATAATATCACTTACTGTATTTTAATATTTTTAGTCAGGCAAAGCTCATTTTCAAATGGTTGTGAAGCCTACTTATATCATATTAGGTTGACTATCAGTTATTGATCACCTACAGTGAAACATATAACGGTTTCTTACAAAATAATTACAATGAATTTCACCACCCAAACATTCAGCAGGATGCTGACCACCAGAACTCCATATAGTACACACACATGCCTACTGAATGTCCCCTTTCTGAGCGCCTGCCCATCCTACCCACCATCAAGTCTCCCATCTTTCCCACCATATCCCAGTTCCCCAACTCAGGCAGAAACACCCTATTTGAACACAGGCCACTCCACTATGATGTACAGAAGTCCAGCCTATAGATGTGGAGACTCTTTCCTCAACAACAGGCCACTGCAGTCAGAAGACTAGAGAAGAAACAGAAACCAAGTAACAAAACACACATACTACTAAACTCAACTGCTTAATTTATAGATTTAGTGCTATACATGAGATATCTGATGTCATGTTTACAGGTTTAGAAAAAGAGCAGAGGACATCATATGGTACCTAAAAGGATCAAGAATAGTCAAGGTCTAAGGAGTAAAAATGCTGTTTGAGATATAACAATAACTGATACCAAATTATATTATAGAGTTATGTAATAGAAACCATCTGCTACTCACAAAAACGAGGCAAGTGTACCAATGGAATAGACAAAATGATGCAGCAATAAAACAACAATGTAAGGCCCACTTACTTTCGAAAGGTAAATTTGTAAGTCACCATGAATGATTCTGTTGAGGAACAAGATTAGACAGACTTGGCCAGCTATAAGAGTAATAAGGTGAACAATGCTTTGCAAGAATTTTGACTTTGTGATTATTTATAGCAATATTGCCTCAAATACTAGATTTTCATCTAAAGCATCTTTCAGTTTATCTCCTTTATCAAGGTACTGGAGGAGCACAAAGAATACTTACATTGCTCAAGCATTGGCTGACATTCTTCACATCTATTTGCAGGAAGTTGCCAATAACTGGGAGAGGAGTGGGGCCAGGAGGGAGTTTCCCTCTCTCAGAGCTCTGTCTCCAGAGTGAGAGGAGAAGCAGACAGCAGAGGCTGAGCACCAGGACCACAGCTGCATCCATGGAGATCCTTCTGCCTGGCACAGCTGTGCTCAGCCAGCATGGAGCTTTTATAACACTACCTGCTGAATCAGCATGTCCTTCGTTGGAACATCACTGACTGGTCAATCAGATAATCTTTAACCTCATTCTCTCTCTCTCTCTCTCTCTCTCTCTCTCTCTCTCTCTCTCTCTCGTAGACTTCGTCCTTGCGATAGAAATAAAAATAATATTTCTGTTATTCTTGTCCTTCTTTACAGGGTATCCATTTGAATTTCTGGTTTAACATAACAGATTGCTGTCTGCATTGTGCTAATAAAAATAAAAAACACCTATGATAGCATATGCTGGAGGGGATGTGGAGTGAGGGGAACACTCATTCATTGTTGGTTGGAATGCAAACTTGTGCAGCCACTGTGGAAATCAGTGTGGCGGTTTCTCAGGAAACTGGGAGTCTGGGAGTCAACCTACCTCAGGACCCAGCAATTCCACTCTTGGGAATATACCCAAGAGATGCCCTATCATACTACAAAAGTATTTGTTCAACTATGTTCATAGCAGCACTATTTGTAATAGCCAGAACATGGAAACAACCTAGGTGCCCCTCAATAGAAGAATGGTTAAAGAAGGTGTGGAACATACACACATTAGAGTTTTACTCAGCAGTAAAAAAGCAATGACATCTTGACTTTTGCATGCAAATAGATGGAAATAGAAAACACTTTACTGAGTGAGGTAACCCAGACCCAAAAAGAGGAATATGGTATGTACTCATTCATATGTGGATTCTAGCCATAATTAAAGGTCTTTGAGCCTATTATTCGTGATCCTAGAGAAGCTAAATAAGAAAGTGAACCTGAAGAAAATCATATAGCTATCCTTATAGATTGCCAGGGAAACTTGGGTGTAAGGGAGCGGGTTGAGGGGTGGGGGGCTAGGGGATGGATGTAAGGGGAGTTGGGTAGAGAGAAGGGAGAAGGGGAGGATTCAGGATAGTTTGGAGGAATAGGATGAGTGGGATGGAGGAAGGATGGATATGGGAGCAGGGAAGTAAATATCTCAACTAAGGGAGCCATTTTAGGGTTTGTAAGAGACTAGATTCTAGAGGGGGTCCCAGGTCCAAGGAGAGATCCCCAGATTGCTCCCGGGGCAGCAGAGGAGAGGGTGCATGAACTGGCCTCGCCCCATAACCATACTGATGAATATTTGGCATATCACCATAGAACCTTCATCTGGCGATGAATGGAGATAGAGACAGAGTCCCACATTGGAGCACTGGACTTAGCTCCCTAGGTCCAAATGAGGAGAAGAAGGAGGGAGAACGTGAGCAAGGAAGTCAGGATCACAAGGGGTGCGTCCACCCCCTGAGACAGTGGGACTGATCTGATGGGAGCTCACTAAGGCCAGCTGGACTGGGAGCGATGGAGCATGCGATCAAAACGGATACTCTGAACGTGGCTGGCAATGAAGGCTGTCTGAGAAGCCAAGGACATTGGCACTGGGAGTTAATTCTACTGCATGGACTAACTTTTTGGGAGCCTGGTTTGTTTGGATGTTCACCTTTAAAGACCTGTCCAAATAAGAAGCAGAAGTAGGGAAAACGTGAGCAAGGAAGGCAGGATCAGAGGGAACCTTCATCCGACCTTAGATGGAGATTGAGACAGAGACCCAGAGTGGAGCACTGGACTGAGGCCCCAAGGTCCAAATGATGAGCAGAAGGAGGGAAAACATGAACAAGGAAGGCAGGACCACGAGGAGTGCGTTCACCCACTGATACAAGGGGACTGAACTAATGAGAGCTCACCAAGGCCAGATGAACTGGGACTGAACAAGCATGTGATCAAATCGGATTCTCTGAATGTGGCTGACATGGAGGCTGTCAAAAAAGCCATTGATAATGGCACTGGGACTTGTTTCGTCTGCTTGTACTGGCTTTTTGGGATCCTAGTCGGTTTGGATGCTCACCTTCCTAGACCTGGAGGGAGGGGGGAGGATCTTAAACATCCCACAGGGCAGGAAACCCTGACAACTCTTAGGACTGGAGAGGGAGGAGGAGAGGGAGTGGGGGAGGGAGTTGGAGGGTATTGGGAAGAGGGGAGGAAGTGGAAATTTTTATAAATTAATAATAATAATAATAAACATTTATCATAGCGACTATTTTTGAAAAGCAATAGATGAATTTTGAGATGGAAGAAAACACCTCAACATTTACATTCTCAGGTTAGTGACCATGTAGGAATTTAAGATTATGTATAGCTTGCATATTCTATGAAATATATTTATTTGTCAACATAGTCTTTCTGTGTAGCTTAGGTTCCCCTCAAAATGACATTTCTTTTGCTATATTCTTTCAATGGATCGAAATATATTGGTGCACCACCATGGTCATGTATATTTAAAATATTTCTTTCCTATATTAAACATTTGGACATATTTCATTAAGCAATATAAGTCTTATAGATCTTTATTTCACTCTTTGGTCTTTTATAAAACTAAGATAACAAAACATGTCTATTAATCATACATCTTGAATCAGAAGATATATATTAAGATTTTATTGTAGAAAGTTGTTTGTTTTTCAATGTTGTGTAGTTCAACCATGAAAGATCTTTTTTTTCCCTAAAGGTAATGGGAAATAAAGAACTGCCAGTGTCTCACAGCTCAGAGTTGGAAGAATTTAGTTATCAAAATGACTATCTAATGGACTTACATACTCCCCTGGCTTTACCATAGTTTCTTAAGGAAAGGTTTGAGATTCTCCCCGTACCACCAATGCAGTCGTAAAACTATATGAACAGAATATTCTCTAGACAGTGACAAGATTTGATATGACCTAATGGGTGCCAAGTATTCAACTGTGAGCCTAAGGGGGCATGTCTAACTTAACCCACACTTCCTGTATTTTGTCCCTTCCCTATACAAAAGCATTCAGTATAATTTTATTCATCATATTTTCTTGACTGTGCACTAAAACACTATACCGAATATAATCACTAACATTCCCAGTAAACATGAATCTAGTTAATAATTATGTCATCAGTGTTTTTAGACAGAAGTCAGAAAAGTTTGAGCAAGTGTTGTAATCTTGCTCAAAGATTACAAACATGGCTACAAAGGGCGCTATTATAAACTTCATAAATAACCCAAATTCATGGTTATGTTCATTATATACTATGAAGTAAGCAGTAATTAGCTGCCCAAATCATATTGTTCTAAATAAACAATTCGAATAAAACAGTCTTAGTAAAGTTCTGTTCAAGCCCAGAGTGATACTTGTTCTGGCACATTTGTAAGTCAGCACAAAGCTTTGAACAAACCTTTCCTTTAATTGAATATAAAAAATGAAAGAATACTTAAAATGAGATAGGCCTCTGTACTCAACAGAGCTACATTTTTATTTGCTTTTTTATGAAAAGAGCTATTGGTGATGAATGAAGTATAACTCAAGCAAAGATGAACAGACTCTTGGGAAAATATTTGATTGACCCTTCATTACATTTTGTTTGTTAGCTTGTCTGTTTTTATCAATATCATGTAACACTAAAGAATTTAAGAATCAAGACATGTCTCTGTCGCATCTACTTCTCTAGTTTAGCCAGGAGCAGTGAATCATTTGGAAGGGAAAAGTCATTGCCTTGGACTCTAAACTTGTACTGAACAAGTCGTGATAACACTTCATTGCACCATTCCCTTTGCGTGTCTTCATATTGACCTTCTGTAACAACATGAACTGTCACCACCACCCTCACAACTCCCTGTGACCTGAAGAGAGAGTAAATCTATACCTGGTGTGTGGAGCTAGCAAAGAATCTTGCACTGGTTTCAGTGTTTGCTGCAGTTCAGTGAGGTATGACAGGCAGAGACTGATGTCCCTGTGCTTAGATCAGAGCTTACAGATGGAGCCTCTAGACCTGCCTTAGAATCATGTGGGAACCTATGCAGTCATAGGACAGACATATCTTACATCACTGACTGCAGTTTGTTGTTTTACTCTTTGGGCTCCTTTGGGGGTGCACCACCCAGCTCCTAACTAAATCAGATGGAGCCTTATACTTAGTTATAAATGTCCAGGTTTAGCTTGGCATGTTTCTTGACAGATTTTGTTTATTTATTTATTTATTTATTTATTTATTTATTAATTAAAAATTTCCACTTCTTCCCCACCTCCCTTTTCCCTCCCCCTCCCCACCTCCCCCTCTGTCTCTAGTCCTAAGAGCAGTCGGGGTTCCCTGCCCCGTGGGAAGTCCAAGGTCCTCCCTCCTCCATCCAGGTCTATAAAGGTGAGGATCCAAACAAACCAGGCTCCCACAAAGTCAGTCCATGCAGTAGAATTAAAACCCAGTGCCCTTGTCCTTGACTTCTCAGTCAGCCTTCATTGCCAACCACATTCAGAGTGTCCAGTTTGATCACATGCTCCATCACTCCCAGTCCAACTGGCCTTGGTGAGCTCCCAATAGATCAGTCCCA